AACCGGAAACGGGATTGATATTAACACAACTTAAATAAAAAAAAATCAACTATTTTATAACGTTCATGATCCTCAGAATAGATTTTTTTTTTTCTGGCACGGGCACTGTGCCATTTTTCAATTGGGCGCCATTTTTGTTATCTCCTGCTTACCAAAGGTGCCATGCTCCAGAGTCATCTTGCCAGACGCAGCTCCTCGGCTAGCTCAAGCGCGGATCGTAGGTCCCCAACCCGCTGCGTCAGGCCGTGGGGTGGCGTAACAAAAAGAAGGTGTTCTGCAACGCTCCACATCACATCATTAATCGCCCTCCCGACCTTGGTTGCCTATTCTCGCCGTTGCATTTTTTCTTTTCTTGACAACCCCCTTTACATTCCTATCACGTCCACCATGCCATCTTCCTCTTACCTCATCCTTCTTAATTTTATAATTCCTTAAAAACCAAACATATTTAGGTCTTTCTTTTCAAATGAAAATACAATTTATTTGGTTTACCATCTTAACAGTTATACTAAATTTGTAAGGTTTAAATTCAAAAAAAAAAAAAATTAACTTTTAAATTAATGATACTAAATATGTTCTCAAATTATATAAAAAAAATCTGTTTTGCACCTCAAACCGTCTCCATATTAAAACAAATTATATACACTTCGAACAAAACAACTGGACTCACAAGAGTATTAACATTTATACCCTTCCTAAAACCTGCCAGAAAGAGCTCTTTAAGGGGTGGTTCTCAGGGGGATTTTTTTTTTTTAATCTCAAAAAAATTATAGAATTTTCTTCAATATGGGGGGTAGGTTTTGCAGTCAGTACACCAATAGAACAAAAAAACAAATCAATGTCGGAACAAAAAAAAGAAATACAAAAATAGATATGTGAATATACGTATATAACTTACTAACTAAAAAAAATATATACTTAATTAAATCGGCTACCAGCAAACGCACATCCACGGGCAGAAATTTGTCTGCACTACCCTAGTGAGCGGTTTTATATATCCGGCCTTTCTATGTATGAAAGCTTTTGCACACTTTAACAGTGGCGGGCTAACATCAAAAGTTTCCAACAGAAAAATGTTGCAGCCGTTCTGCAAGTTGCGATACCGAGAGTGTCGTGGGATCCAATAAAATTCTGCACGTTCTTGTGCTTTCGACACCGGGCGTGACTTAGGCCCAAAAAAAATGTTTGACAAAAAAAAAAGAAATACACTTAAAAAATAGCACTTACACAAAAGTTGTGCCGCGCCCTCTATTTCTTCTTGGGGGGGAGACTAAATATTATCGCCGCACTCCTAACATCCGGCACACTATAATTAAATGGAACTTAGGGTCCAATTTAAATCTACACAAAGGAAACTAACAAACTTACACTTTTAACGGCTATCAGCAAAAATTGGAAAAAACGCCTACACGGGTACCTCCGGGACTCGTCTTTACTTAAACAGCTGTCGCAGTCTGAGGGTTCTTTGGGTCAAGATAACCCCCTGCGGCCCTTCCCGGTGGTCTTTGTCGTTGACTCCACCGAATTTACAAAAACTTTCGCGCGGACTTTTACAAAAAAAACCTTTCCGGCACTTCGCGAATTGTCCACCACACGCGGTTTTTAACTATCGCGACACAGCAAAAAAAGAAGCAAACTTCGAGGAATGCGGCTCTGGCACGTTCTGCCGTTGAATAGCGTTTTGGGCAATCCCGTACCAAACAGCTCATTTTATGTTCTCGGTTTCCGCCATTTACCGTACACTGGAACTACCCAATACATTTCAAGCACTTTTTGCTTGTATTGGTGATTCTACAAAAAGATACACCCCTCCCTTTTCTTTCTTCCGGTGCATTATACCAGTTGGCAAAACTCTTTGCTGGCAATGCTCATATGGGGCGAAAAAGCTTTTGGTTTTACATTCCTTTTTATTTGACGTTTGCCTCAGTAAATATTAATTTTGGCCGGACGGACAACCTCCAGTTTTTTTCTTCTTTTAGTAAATTAAACAAAACGCATTTATTTTCTTTTTTTTTTGTTTTAGGGCTAAACAATTCATTAATTTATATACACTACAGGGATTGCTATGGACGAAAAACCTATACCCCTACCATCTGTACAGCCGGGTGGCCGGAGATCTCTACAGTGGCGTTCAGACTTGTTGGGCAAGTATCCTTAAATAATAACAAAATACATGGTGCAGACGATGCTTTCTTCTGATTCCAGGTTCTTACTACTGGACGCGCTGAGCCAGACAATGGATCGCAAACCAGCAATCACGGGTATCCAGCGCTCCCATAACAATATATAATATCAATATATACAAGAGCAGGCAAACAGGAATAGCAACAACAGCAGCATCAAAGACAAAAACTACAACAATTATAACAACAACAAATAAATTTACGTAACAACGGCAGTGAGCAGATATCAATGGATCTAGCAAGCAACAGTCCATTTTGAAAGATAAGCTACTTAGTGTTTATTATTATTATTAATATAAGTTCTTTAATATTAGATAAAATTCTATAGTTTTCTTATTTGTAAATTACTCATTCCCTTCAAAATGATTCATTCGCCTCAGAATATAAGCATTCCTATACACACACAAGATTTAGATAGTTCATTGACCGATTTACAAAATGACACATTTCGAGAACAAATTAGAAATCCATATGTAGAGCAACATATTACTGAAGTTTGTGCAACTTCAGTAAAACTTCCACCATTTTGGACTAATTGCCCAGATGCATGGTTTATACATGCAGAAATGCAATTTAGTACAAAAAATATAACACAAGAAAATACTAAGTATGAACTACTGGACGCGCTGAGCCAGACAATGGATCGCAAACCAGCAATCA